TATTCTCATAGGTGCAAATATAATGCTTTAAGTTGTATTAGAAATGAGGCCACTGGTATAATGATGTTTCATATTTCAAACAGTATTTTGACAGAAACCAGTCATTCATTCATGAAAGTGATTATAATGTTCATTTTGATGACATTTTTTAAATAAGAGAGAATAATTATAGGTCTTAATCTAGGTGTCATCTATTATTAGTAATAATGTTAAAGAAGAATTATATTAAATGTATGGCTCTTTTGAAACTATGCTTTAGGTAGGAAAGAATGTTTCAACAGTTGAGCAAAGCATCATAGTGAACACTGAAAGAAAACTGGGGATAGAAGTAAGAAAATGAGATTATCTTTTATATTGACTTCTGAGAATACATTTTATCTAGTTCAAAATGAGTCAGAACTGATACAATGATGGATTGAGAAAAAATGCCTAACCTAAAATACAAGTGTCCAGGGCTAGAGCTCACGGTCAGTATACAGTTTAGAGTTTAGTACAGATGTTGAATATAAACATGGTCAACAGTCCAGCCGTGTAGAAAAGACTAAAGATAATTTTTAAGACTTTTCACAACTACTGATGTTTTCTACATACTGATTTTTTCCAGACTACTGTATCAAAAATTTCAAAACCAAGGAGCAAAACTGTATTCTCTCAGGATACTCAATTACTGATATTTCTTCACTCCGTTAACAGAAGATGATCAATGTTAGATTTTAATTTATATTGAGTTAACTCATTGTAATTGTAAAAAAAAAAAAAAAAAAAAACTACTAGTAAAAGAATCTTTTCCCTTCCTTTAACTGAAAATGTAGGCTTCTTTCTGACTTGACCACACTAGTGCACACGTATGTAGGCCCAATACAAATTACACAAATGAGAAGGCTCCCTTTAGTATTTCTAACCTTTGTATCCTCATTTATTTAACAAGTATTTACTGAGTATCTCCTCTGCCAGGTACTATTCTAGGCACTTGGGACACATTAAGGAACATAGCTGACAATAAGTAAATCATATTGAATATTAGAAGGTGATAAATGCTATAGAAAAAGGAAAAATCAGGCTGTGGAAGGGCAATTGGCAGTCAGTGAGAAGGTGTTAACAATTTAAAATAAGTCTGTGTTCAGGGTAGACCTCATTCAGAAGCTGACATTTGAACAGACTTGAGGTCAGCTAATCATGTATCTGAAGAAAGAGTGTTTTAAGTAGAATAAATAGCTGTAAGGCAGAAGTGTGCCTGACATGTTGAGAAATGACCAGGAGGCCAGTGTGACTGGACAGCAGTGAGTGTAGGAAAGTTTAGAGAGGTCGTGACGGTGGCTGTGGACCACAGACAGTGCGCCATTCTTGTAGGACCATTTTAAGGAGTTTGGCTTTTACTCTGAGAGTAAAATCCTGCATTTCAGGCAGGATTATAAGTAGAGGAATAACATGATCTGATTTATGTTTGAAAAGAATCACTCAGACCATTGTGGTAAAAACAGACTATAGAGGGACAGGAGCAGAAGAAAAGAGGTCTGTTAGGAAGCTCTTACAATAATCCAGGCAAGATATGGATGGTAGTGGCTTGGACCTTGGTGGTGGTGGTGGCGAGAAGTGGTCAGATTCTGAATATATTTTGAAGGTAGAATCAACAAAATTTGCTAATGGATTGGATGTGGGTTATAAAAGAAAAAAGAGTCACGGATACCTTCAGGGTTTTTGGCCTGAGAAACTGGAAGGATAAAGATGTCATCAGATGATCTAGGAAAGGCTGAGGGTAGAGCTAGTGTCAGGGGATAATAGGAGGTTATATTCTGGAAGTTGAATGGAGATGTCCGATTGAAAGTTGGACATATTAGTCTGGAGATCATCAGCATACGGAGCATATTTAAACAGTGAGATTACCCAGGTAGTGAGTGAAGATAGAAAAGAGGACTGAGAAATGAATCTTGAGGTGCTCCAGTATTAACCAGTCAGGGCAAAGAGGAGTCATCAATGAGGTAGTAGGGCCACCGAAAGAGTGGGATCCTGGAAGGCCAGGTAAACAAATAGTGTAAAGGAGGAATAGAGATCAGCTGTGTCTCATGTATCGAGTATGGTGGGACCAAGAAGAGACCACTGAATTTAGCAACGTGGCGGTCATGATGATCTTGTAGAGCAGTTTCAGTGGCGTGGTAAGAGCAAAAGTCTGCACAAGTTTGAAGGAAGATGGGAAAATTTTAATTTCCTGGTTTTGATAACTGTACTATGACTATGTAAAATGTTAACATTAGGGAAAGCTGGGTGAAGGATACACAAGAACTCTGTGTACTATGTTTGCAGCTTTTCACTAAGTCTAAAATTATTTCAAAATAAAAAGCAAAGTAAGAAAGCTCTGGTGATCTACTTCTGAAAAATCAGCCATTGAAAACCCTGTAGAGCACAGTTCTACTTTGACACACACGGGGTCTGAGTTGGAATCAACTCAGCAGCAGCTGATTTGTTTTCATTTTGAATAGTTTAGCTGAGCAAATATGACCAAAGAAGGAAGGGTCGGGGAGTTGAAGTAGAGAAGAGCAGAGCTATCAAGGATATGTGTGAGGAAGTGATTATTCTGGTTGATTATGGAATTACATTGATAAAACGGAATGAGGACATCGCTGCATTCTCTGAGCTACCAGACTCTGCCCTGACCTTGGAATCCCACTTGACTCCGTAAGTCAGCCTATGGAAGTAGGCTAACCTTTCCAGCCTTGCTGGACCTTTTGATCTCTTGACATGCTTGGTTTAAGATCGTGCAGACCACTCTTGAATCCTCAGATTCTGTCCTGTCCTGTTCAACAAACTCTGCTTTGCTGTCTTTCCCTTTGTCCTGGCAAAACAAGAATAATGCATTCTACTTAGTAGAGAGAGTGCTATCCTCACTGTCCTACATGAAATTGCAACTTATGTAGGCTTTTGAAAGAAATGTGCCATGTATAACAGCACAAGAGAAAGACATTAATTCTTTAAGTAAAACAAGGGGATATTGTCTCATAGAAGCTGATTACACCTATTCTGGAATATTTAAAAATATTTCCACACGTAAGAATACATATCAAAAGTGGAAACCAATGCCTCTTCTCTTTACAGATGACCACAGTTTATTTTAAATTGTTACTAGATAGTAGATACATTTTCAAAGGCAAAATGTATATAAAATGTTATCAAGAAGAGCACATCAAAACCAGTTGCCATAGAATTGCTTCCAACTCATAGTGACCCTGTGGGACAGAGTAGAACTGCCCCATGTATTTTCCAAGGCTGTGATCTTTATAGAAGCGGACTGCCACGTCTTTCTGACATAGAGCAGCTGGTGGATTCAAACCACTGACCTTTCAGCAGGTAGGCACTTAACCACTGTGCCGCTAGGGCTTCTAAGGGTACATAAAGATAGTGAAGTAATTAAGGAAGGAGGAAAAACATGCATTTAAGTTGATGAGTAAAACCAAGGCATTCAGATGCTTTTAACAAAGGAAGTCAGTATTTGATCACTTTTAATAAACAGAGCATTAATGATTGACAAAGCCAGAGACATGAGAGAGAGACTATTTATTATCAGTGATACCAGAATTAGTGCTTAAGAAGAGATATTTGTATAGATGACTTTGTGTCATCACAGCTGGAATGCTGGCCCTCCATGATAACAAAGAGATGTGGATGGCCCACACACCCAAGATAGCAACAAGTGGTCCTTGTACCTGTTATGAAGGTCTCCAAGAACTTGAAAATAAGAAAGTAGGATATCCCTTTAACAGTTAAACTGTGAAATCAACATATAATAATATACCAGAGGAGGCATATCAAAGTGATGGGGAAGAGACAGCATAAGATAGCTTCTAGAACTGGAATTGGAGTAGACATATACAGATCTATCATGGCAACATCTTGGTCAATCACAGACCCCCCCCCCCCCCGGAAAAAAAGTGTCATACATGCACTGTTCAGGTGAAACTGTGCATCTTAAACATCATACTTAAGAATCTGAGGACCCAATTGCAAGGCTGTCCATAGGGTGGAGATGGTTGCAGGGGATTAAAGCCAAGAAAGGTAGACAGTTCAGGTTCCATTAGCAAGATCATCTATTGTTTTAAACGAACGCATCAAACTAATCACAGTCCTTTAAATATTCACTTACTCTGATTTTTCTGGTTATTTGTGTTCATTCAACAGTCTAATTTATAGTAATTGCTCACATTTGTTGAATATTTACAAGGTACCAGACACTAGTTTACAAACTTTACATGTATTATCTCATTTAATCCTCTCAAGGACCCTGTGAGATAGGTACCCCTGTTATCTCCCTTGTACACAGAGACACAGAGGAAGTAACTTGCCTAATGACAGAACTGGGATTCAAATCCAAGCAGATTACCTGTCTAGAACTATGCTATACTACCTTGGCTTCTAATGTAGATCTGTGTTATGGGGAGAGAGTACATTAATCACATATTCTTTTGATTATGGTTTATCCTGTGATGGTGATATCTTAATGGTAATTAATAAATGACTTTTGATTATGATTTGACAGAGGACCAAATCCTGAAATGGAGCAACCTGCTAGAGGTGTAGTAGCCTATAAGATTTTTGTGGCCAGCTCCTGTTCTCCCTTTGGCCCATGTTTCCTAGTTATCTTTAGGGTGGATGAGAACAACCTGAGAGACCTATGTAAAGTTAGAGTCCTGGTCCTTATCTCCCAGAGATTCTGATTTAATTGGTCTGCAATGGGCAGTCTGTACTTTAAGGAATTCCATTGGTGGTTGTGGTGCCCATCTAAACTTGAGAACCACTACTTTAGATGGCACAATGACTATTTCTCTATTAATTTGTATAAAAACCTAGTTCAAATCTAAGCAATGGTCAAAGTAAGGAATTCAGTTAAGGCACAAGTTTAATATTTATGATGAGCTAGATATAAAGACCAGTTAAAGATTTGAAATCTTGATTCCAAGGAGCAAATGTGAATGACTTTAAGATGTGTTGTATTGTGGTTTGGACTTTAGGCCCTGGAGCTGCATGGCCTGGGACTGGATGCCATCTCTGCCACCAGCCGGACAGCTGTGACCAGCCTGCTCACGCTGTCAGTAGTCATTTGCCAAAAGAGGATGGTAACAGTCTATATAATAATCCATACAAAACCCTGAGCCTAGATCCCGGTATTTGGATGTTGTTTTTGTGTGCTGTCAAGTCTTTTGCAACTCATAGCAACCCTGTAGGACAGAGTAGAACTGCTTCATAGGGTTTCCTAGGCTGTGATCTTTACGGGAGCGGATTGCCAGGTCTTTTCTCCCAAAGAGCCACTGGTGGGTTCAAACCACCAGCCTTTCAGTTAGCAGCCAAGTACTTAACCATTGCACCACAGGGCTCCTTTTGATATTTGGTTAGTGCTCAGTAAATGTTAACTCTCATTATTTGTTTTTCCAACTGGGGACATTTCTGGTAAGCCTGCCTCCCTTTCTAACTGAGGCATTTCTTGTGGCTGCAGCAGCATCTGTAAAGTGGCTGTTGAGAACAAAGACTTTAGTTGGTCTCCATATGTAGGCTTAACCATAGACTGGTATCTTTTTAACATCATTCTTGTGCCAGTTGAATTAACCAGTACAAAAATTGAGCAATTAGAGAGCTTGGCATTAAATAAGATATTTTTAAAATGTGCTTTACAAGCAGTGTAGACTTCAAATTATAAACTAGAATCGAAAATCAGTTTTGCAGGGTGAGAAGTTTTTTAAGCATCTAGAGAAAGCACATCTTCATTTTACTTTTTCCAGTTTCACTGAACTTCTGGTCTGGGTTTACTCAGGTTCTAATGTATGTGATTATAAGGTTGTGGTCTAATAGCTTTTAAAAGCCATACGGAAGATGTATTTTCTAGATATTTTTAAAGAAACAGGCTACTTAAGAAGCCTATTTTGTGCAAAATATTCAGTCTGAGTAAAATGAGATCTAATTCTACACATAGACATATTTAAGGCTTCTCCAATTAAGGGATAAGGCATTCTTTTCCTGTGTATTATGGAACGATAGAAATAAAATTCGAGTAGAATTCATCACATAAGCAGTATGGTCCATTGGTTACGAGCACAGACTCTGGTTTTCGGCAACTTGCTCAAGTTCTTTCCTCAGTTTCTTCATTTGTAAGAGGCCTGATAATAGTACATAATTAACAGAGCTACAGTGAAGATTAAATTATTAAATTATGTTGAATTAAATATATGTTGAAGCACATAGGACAATGCCTGGTACTTAAACCCTTAGTGATGATGATAATAATAACATCTACCACCAGATCATCCGAACAAAAAGGAAAAGAAAACTAGAGTAGAAATATTTTATTGTTCAACATCTTAAATTTTTCTTATTCTAAAACTATCTGAAAAAAATTTTTCAATTAAAATCTATTTTTGGCCTTAGCCTCTGGGAGTGGGGAAGTCCACAAATCATATTTCCATTAAGTGTTTGCTTAGACTCTTCATTTAAAATCTTAATTATCCAAGAGAACCTACAGACTGGGAAAAAAATTTGGGACAGTACAAGTCAGACAAAGGTCTAATCTCCATAATCTACAAGAAAATCCAACACC